TAGAGTCAGAATACAATAAATGTACAAGGGACTGCGAGTGAAAATAATGATTATTTTATTAGTCTTACCGTTAAGCAAATTTATTGTATTCTGACTCTAACTCTCTCCTTAAATCCCAGGGTTACAAGCCGTACATTTCCTCCTGAAAATTTGTGAGTTGCTCTAAAAAGCTCGTTGCTAAATCGCTTTGCCAGCAGTTAGCTAACGAAGAGAACAAGGATTCTAAAGCCTTGTCAACCCTTAAATCTAAGGGTCGTTCATGTGGATCAGTCGAAAAAATTACCTTACACATACGACCGACTCTCTAAAGTTTGACGCCTGCAGTCATCTGAAGACATGAACAGTGTAAATGATGTAACTATCTTGGGTCTGTCCCTCAGGTAGATCCATCGCATATCAGGAGACGAAGAAGCTTGTACAACTGGTCAGTGAATGGGATATTAGATATTGAGAAACGCAAAGGGGAATCATGACTCCTTTCTTACACTGCCACCAATATCCGTTGGCTTCCGGAGTTGGCCAGCATTTGGAAGAGAAGTGACACCCAAAAGGTGATTATAAACAATCTCCACTGATTGCAGGATGTTTGTAGATCACAGAATGAAATCTGTTCCAGATATCGGACACCCTAAGAACCAAATGGAGCGGAAGCGTCACATTCCAATAGACGAGACTTAAAACCAGAGCAGATGGTGTTTTCACCTTTCAATAACGGAAAATCCTCAGGAAAACCGTGAAAACAAGTAAAAGTACTTGATAAAACGGGTATAGCCACCTCTTCAAGAGGCAACTAGTCTTTTTTCAACTCATACCCAACATTGATGGTCACTGAACACCAGTTAGAGAAATAAGTTCTGATGAAAATGGACTGTTCACAGTCAAGAGTGACAGTTTGATCGCTGAGCCAAGCATTACGAGGGACAACGGCGCTAGCCTGAAACTATCACGGCTACTTCGGCTCTAGCAGCTAAAAACTCGCAGCATCACATAAAAATCCACGAGGAAATGTGATTTTATATTTGTGCTTGAAAAAGGTGCCCAAACTCTTTTTTATTAGGTTAATGGTTGCACATTATTGTGTGATGAACAATAGCAGAAGTGAAGTTCGTGGTCGAGCGGACCTCAGGATAACCAACAACATAAGCCTTGGGACTCGGGGGAGGGGGGGGCGAACCACATAAAACGTAAGATGGATAGGCGTGATAATGATTCGGATGACAATGAAGCTGCGTACCACCAACCTGATGAGTTTGCTCACATTTTCGTCAAGGTGAGGGTAACATCTCTTTTTCAAGTCGAATACGTAAAATGTAATCTGAGGAACATATTGTCTTCCTGAAAAAGGCCTCAGTCGTTCCTGTATTAAAAAGGGATAACGTAGTGACTGAGTTTATCAGCGCTTCAGTGAATAGGCGATCACGGACGATACGCGGTGATGTCCCAGAACGTGAGAGGGTTTTGCGCCTGGCCAGTGATTTCTCTGTGACAAAAAGTACCGTGACGAGTGCTGATCTGGCGTATTAAATGAGGTCATCGCCACAATATCCCAAGATTTCTTATGGATTCATTCCCGAAGCCGATTTATCCCCATGTAGGCGAAAGTCACTTAAATGCAATACTGTGTGATAAGATGGGTATGAAGAACCGTAGGGAGATTATTTTGGGAAGATGCATCACTTTTCAGACCGAGGCCCAAAAGACTCTGGAACCGATTGTTTTGTAATGCCATATAGTACTAGGCGAGACTGCCAGAAGTATACTAGAACAGTTAAATCGTGCATCTTGCGTGTTGGAGATAGTGGTTTACCTAATTTTGCTCTTCCTTCATTCCTTATCGACCTTTTACATTCCTAACCACTTTGCACACAAGTTGAACTTGGCAGTGATTGGCAGAGTTTGCCTCACCGTCTTCTGCTGTGCTAGGCGGAGAGTGGCTGAGAAGCAAGTAAACAACTCTAGGCGATGAGGCGCTAGAGGCTGGAAAGTACGAGAAAGAATGAAACGAAATGTAATCAGTGCAAGTAATCTGTGTCACAGAGTACAAAATGCATCATCTATAGAAAGCAAACCCAGTACGTGGAGTAAAATGTTTCCGAAATGAGCAAATCAAGGTTTGACTCATATTAAACAGTTATGCGCTATCGAGAGCCAACCCGTGGAAACCTATTACGAGCTTGGAAGAGGTTCGATCTGTGAAGCAGGATAATTAAAAACACAAACGGACAAACAAAGTAAACGATGCTGATACTAGGATGTTGAGAGACCCGAAGACGACAGAACTAACCTGTGAGATGAGAAACGTTCCTGTACCATCGAAACACAAAGTGTGCACCCGACGTGATCCGTTACGCTGAACAGAACCTAAGAACTCAGCGCATACCAGAGAACGATGCTGTGTTAACGGCACTATTAGACTATCCGGGTTTTCCGATTGCATTGCAACTGGGGCAGTTGGAACTTCACATTCGTCCTGTTGGCGAAAATTTAAAATAGTAGAAGAAAACAGGCATTGGAAAGAAAGGCTTGACTGACAAATTTCCATTCGCCATTAGACAGTGCAACCCAATATCGCGGATATAAGCATATTACATCAACACCAACGGTAGAAATGACTTAAACGTTTGAATTAAACAACACGATCAGTTGACAGGAATGGACACTAAACCATGGCAAAATATATACGAAGTTTTTTACTTTAGATAACAAGGACATTAACAATGAGAATTTTCTAATGAACGCAACAACAAAATCAAAAGGTCTGACGACAAGGATAAATTTAATTCCCCGTGACCCAAACCATTGGATATTCTGAGGTTATTGAAAATGATCGTAGTCTTTAGTAACCCAGAATATAGACAGAGCCTGAATATCAGATGAGTTCAATTTTATGGTGACCACGGGAACTAAAAGGCTTGGTTGAAACCAAAGGATACTTTAAATAGAGTCTTTCGCTTAGGATTGATAATTGTGAGCTTTGCTTCCCAGCTTGTTCGGCGAGGCCTTCAAAATTCGGCCATGCTACATTTTTTTCAGTCGATAATTTATTGCACATTGAACTCAACTGTTGGGATCACATTCCTTTCATCCCTTTTATGATTACCAACGCTGCAGAATCTAAAGCATTTAAAGCATTGCGTTACTCGCTGTTTGCTCCTCGAACGTGCGATCACTTCAAGGAATTGATAGGAATGAAAAAATACCACGCAGTAATGTTTATGCTGCAAGGAACTTGGTTGCATTCCGAAGTCAACGACTCTTTGGTTGAGCTGGATTTCTTTGATAAAACCTGTTTACCACAAAGTAGTGGTGGTCTCACAGCGTACACCAACTCTTCTTGATGTAAGTTTACAAAGATTATTTTCACCTGCTCTATCGTGTCATCAAACATTTACGTCGCGCCCTCCGGTGCAACTTCTGATGTACAGACGTTTGCTGATTTACTCCGTTTTGATTGTCTGCGGTGATTCTAACCATGCATATGTTCATTTACTGACCCCATGGCTCCCGCCAGATTTTATCCCCTCATTTTGAAAGCCCTCAGAAGAATAAAAGAATAAAAGGGCATATTCAAATCGTAAACGAGCTTTATTTAAAAGTCAGTGCAGATCAAGACTGTGATCCAAAATCTTGACAGACTCTACACTGAAACCCTAAATAGTGAAACGATAACCGAAGTCGTTTACGACAAAAGCCCAGTACCTAGGCTTAATGCAAGATACAACTGTACGGCAGGAGCTGAATAGCGTAAGGGCAAAATTTTAGAGGAGCAAGTACTCAGTAATGTTGTAGCGACAAACAAGTGAGCGGAGCACTTTGAGGCACCGGTTAACTGGCCACCAGCAATTCCGACACACGTCCCATGGTCTGCCTCAACAGACCAACCTTCTCAGGCGCAAATCCGTCAGGAGATCCAAGCCTTGGTACGTCACGAAGCGTTGACCTTCCCTTAGCTCTGTTCAAAGATGGTGGAATAAATCTAAGTAGATAGTTAGTGACGCTATTCAGTAAAGTCTGGCACAGTGCGCAGGTCCCCTTCTCGTGGGGGAAACCATCATCTTCCCTACCTTTAAAAAGAGCCAGCGCAGTCATTGTGCCAATCTCAGTGGTATAAGTCTGCTCCCAATAGAGTTAAAGCTTTTAGGGTTCATCATTTTTCGTAGATTGTACAGGACGCGTGAGGAACATGTCCTCCACGAGCAGGCTGGGTTACGCGCGTCGATCAAATCTTCACCCTCCGACAGCTGCTAGAGCACCGTCATGCATACCACAGACCAACAATCACTGTGTTCCTAGACATTCGCGCAGCCTTCGACTCTGTCGGTAAGATTGCACTATGGAACTGTCTGTCTAAAAATGGAGTACCTGAGAAGTATGTGTCGATCCTCGAAAAGTTGTGTCGTCATACCTGAGATTGGGTTAGGGCCTATGACCAGCTTTCACCATCATTTGCCGTCTCCAGTGGGGCGCGACAAGGCTGCCCTCTTCAATTTTGCCATAGAGGATGCTCTGCGGTAAGCTTTGTCTGGTTTAGTAAACGGCGGAACTCCTCAAAGGGAACTGAATTCTTGACTTAGAATACGCCGATGACATCGCCTTGCTGGGTGACAATACACAAGTAGTCTAACACAATTTGAACCGCTTGGCGATAGAGACATCCAGGTATGGTATCTGCTTTGCAGCATCACAGTGCCAAGTGCTTATTCAAAACTAGCAGGAGCCTGTGCCTGTACTTAATCTTTCTGGCGATCAGATAGAAATGGTTGATAACCATAAGTACCTCGGGAGCTTAATCACAACTGGAGGTGGGGTAAGGGAAGAGATCACACCACGAACAGCGAAAGCTAGAGCAGATTTCGCCAACCTCCGACACCTGATGCCTTGCTTGTCTCCATGATCCTGAGTGTTACATAGGATGGCTTTGACAGCCGAAGATTAAATCATGTCTGAAAGGTCAATGGGTAGAGACCAGACGAAGCTCAGTCTCACAAAACCAGCTCCTTGGGCATATCCTGACTTCCTTTGACTATTCACTCTAGCCCCTGAGAGGTCACTCCAGCAAATAAACACGATGAGGGGTAGTTCATCGGTCAAAAAACTCGGTAGATGGACCTAGGAGCGAGGTACCTGGGGCTTCCTCCTGACGGTGGGAGGCTTCGCACTTCATTGGACAGTTACCACCTGCCCAAGCTGGGCACCCTCCAGTCCATAAGGTGTTGTCCCGTCCACATTCCGATTGTCTCACTAGTTGCATGAGACTAATGGTAAATCAGGAACAGCGGACCGACAATCAACGCACCGGCAAACAAAACACTAAACCGAAACCCGAAAGACCTGCGTGACAAGTCTCTAGAAGCTACCACACGGGTGCTTCGTTCACGCTCCCGCGTTGGACCTACGCCTCACTGCGTTGTGGCTCAGACTTTTGAGTTGAAGGCTACGGTTGTGATTCCTCAAGAAAAAAATCAAATTCCCGCTACCTTGCGAGTCAGACTTTGGAGTTAAAGGCTAGGGTTAGGGTTCCCAAAGAAGAATCCTTTCGTCGGTGTGAGCTACCGCGAAGTATGTCGCGCCCAAACGTCTTTGGCATCTACTTGAAAAGCTCTTTCCCATCTGTCTAGATCTTTCTCTCAATCCCGATTAGTCCTAGATGACTCCCGATTGCAGACAAAAAACTTCAAAAAGTGCACAGTGAAACTATCAAAAAAATCATTCATTCATTGTTCTTCCTGTTATCTGTTTCCCCCATTTCTGTTCATTTTTCTGTACCCCTTCATAACATCACCATTGTTTTGTGTTGGCACCATGCTTATCCTCAAGCTGGTGTGATATATATATATATATATATATATATATACCGCTAACAAATACTTAACTCTTGCGAAAACCTTTGTAGCAATATCCTGCCGGACACCACTCACTCATTACAATATCCATTAAACAAAAAAACTTAAACATTGTGTATCGAATTCCGTAACCAGGTGTATTTATAAACTTGTGCATACCTATAGCGTCATCTCGTTATCCCGTATCTTTCGAGATTTCTGGGACAGAAAGTAACAACTAGAGATAACCTTTAAGATATCTTAGGTAAATGACATCCATTTTCGTATGTTTACGCCACCTTCCTCTTAAACTGAAGATACTATGTATTGCTTTTTCTCTTTGTTTGTATGCGGTGATAAATGACCCTAGTGTGCAAGGAGCTGAAAATCCATTCCTTAGGGTGGATAAAGCAATTTGTCACTTGATTTGACCTGTACCGTTGACAAAACCAGACTCTAATCATGAGTAGCTTAAAGAGCATTTCATAAAACGTACGTAAGAGTGGAATGTCACTTGTACAAACACGTGAACTACGGAAACTACAGGATTTTAAATGGACATGGTGACCCAGAGAGCAAGAGTGATCCATAGGGCCCACGGAAGGATTTTACCGATAACACACCAGCTACTTATAAGTAGTCTAACTAATTATACGCCAGTGATCGAGAGAACCCTCAAGTTTTCACCCACAAAAATGTTCAATTACTCAACAGTCGTATTTTTGCCTCACATCCTCCAAACATGCATCGATGTCATTAGCAAAAGATAGAATGAAACAATCCAATGCTGCTAAACGTCACCGTGGTGATCCCGAAAATCACTTGTCTGTCTTTGTTGATTGTACTTCAAAAAGCGAGCACATTTTTCTTATGCATTGTGGTTGCAGGATGAACGAAGCCGCATGATTGGTCAGCAGTCAAATTAATACACCCTAATGGCGCCAATGAACGATTGTTAGAGCATGGCATGGCCATAAACACTGACATTTCACCTTCGAATCGGCCTGAGACACGCCTCTTAGCATTTCCCAGACAGATATCGAAATCACAAATTGAAACGAAAATAGTTATTGCTTAATTCCACTGTAATTATGATGGTAAGCAAAACATCTGATATTTCCATGTTTCTACATTGTGCAACTGTTTATTCCACAACTCATATCATAGAAATAATACTACCGTAGCAGAAAGCGACATTTTCTAAGGTAAAAGCCCGCAGGTCCCACCGAGACTCGAACTCGGGTTGCTGGATTCAAAGTCCAGAGTGATAACCGCTACACCATGGGACCACAAGGGGAAGTGAGAAAATGCAGCACGAGAAAACCTTCACAGAATTTGGGAAGGGGTTCAGCTGGACACGAAAACAGTATGCTGTATAGTGACAGTGAATAAAGAAACATGACGAGCTTACATGAGTTGAATGAGACAAACGCCACACACGTAGCTGAGCGTCAGCGGCACCACTGACGAGAAGCTGACAATCGGGAGATACGGCGAAATCCCATACTGGACCCGAATGTCCAGTGAGTGTGGCAAAACAGTGATGGTTCGTCAAGTCCCACATTTTTATGAAGGTATCTTGAGCACTGAATGCGCAGGGGCGAGAAGAAAACTTACGAGATTATCAAAGAGAAAGTCGGGTTATTACGCTAATAAAAAAGTGCAACGAGTATGGTGTGATCACCTGTTGGGACTCTTCACGAAGTAGACTTAAATAGCCGGTGATAATCCCGAAATCATTAAAAAAAATAGGCGTACACGAACTGGTTGTCAAGGGATGCAACAACAGCATATTGTCTCCGCACGTTCGATGTGTCTTGAAAGCTAAAAACAATGCCTTGAATTCTGAGAAGTTTTTTCTTTTGTGTTGCAACGTGCGGCCGACTTAGAAGATCGTAGTTTGATCAAACAGTTAAGGTTGCAAATTACACTGCTATACTGAAAAATCTTTAGTTTGTAAATGATGATATTCCTCACTTATAGCAGAGGTTTACACTACAATGGTCGACTATTATTACACCATAATGAGTGAGTTGAACTGCACGGTAAATGTATTTCACGAAGTTCGTGAAAATTCCACATCTGGCTTGCTTCGCAACGGCTACACCTGCAACCTCGTCAAACGGACAACCCAAGGACAAATGGACAATCGAATGAGCGATTAACCCTACCGTATGGGAAGATCATTTCTGAAATGACCGAGAGAATGCTGAAGCCACACAACATTCACGTCTCGCACATTATCATCATCGTACCGCGAAATAAAGTGAGGCGAACTTCTCTGATCGCTGCCAAACACGAAATGCATACAAGGTTAGTGATAAAATTTAAGGTGGACAGGGATTGGATCTATTTTGAGGGAGGGAGAAGAAGGTGAGCCATTATGGTCAACACAGAGTTCGCAATCGAACTCTGCATACATACCGCTTCAAGCATTCTGACCTGATAAGAAACGACAACAAGAACGCCACTGCTGTCCGTTAGTCGCCATATCCTTCAATGTCTCCAGCCAACCAGTTGTAGAGTCTTTCGGGCCCCAACCTGGAAGGCGAGAGACACCCACACTACCTAATGGCTCTGTGCATTTCTTCATGCCTCGTCTCCACGTCATCTGTTGACCTCTACGTGGTTTCCTCCAGCCCGGATTAGCTCCAGCGAATAAGGCACGATGCGGCAGACGACAGCTGGGCATACGCAATACTTGTCCCAGCCAGCGAAGTCTACTAATCTGAATTCGGTGTGCTGGCAGGTTTATGCCTGATAGACTCCCAAACACACGACGACTTACCTCCAAATTACTAACCCGTTCGCTCCATCTAATGTGAGCTAAACTACGTAAACATTCGACGGATATCTTCTACTCGCAAATTTAGGGTCTCATAACCAGAAAGCAGGACTGAACGAATGCTAGCACAATATACACGATCCTTCAACTTCAGTGAAACGTCGCGTCTACGCCAAAGGTGTTTCAGTCCTGCGTATGCTGCTCGAGTCTTGGAAATGCAGGCTATTATCTCCTTTGTTGCACTATTTTATTACACACGAAGTCCTTTACAGTAAAAGGGGTAGACCCCATAATCAGTGATATACTGTAAGGGGGAGGTATGTGGGGGAACACTCAAGTAAGAACCAATTTGTTAATCCTACTTTTGGAAAGAGTAAGGTTATAAGAGCTGGGAAGCACGGAAATGGAAAGTGTTCCACAATTTCGCAGTCCTCGGGAAAAAAAGGAGATTGAAAGATAGAAGCTTTTAAAACGTACAGGACGGTTGCAAGCGTGATTAACCTACTCAGGGGATCGTGATTTGCCGGGTTTGGAGAAGTGTGGAATATAAAGATACACGCCTTGAAGAACAATCTACGGGAAGTTTGAAACAGACTTGAAAACATCCGGTTTAAAACAAAAAATGTATCTTTTTAAATTCTCATTTATTTATTGAATATACAAATGTAGTCAACATTCAGGAAAGGGGGCCAAAGGCTGCCTGAGAGGACGGGTGATGGTGGACCGGTTCGAACCCGGGACTCCCAGGTCACAAGTTGACCACTTGGCCACCACCGCTCAAGCCAGAAAGTCACGAAAACCGTCCCAGTTGGCCGAATCATAACGCCAAAAGGTGCGTCTGGAGTTTGGTGGTGAAATGGAGTGAGATAAATGATTGAGAAAGGAAATGAGACAATGGTCCGATGAGCCTAATGGGGAAAGGGAAGTAATGTTAGAGAAAGATATATATATATATTTGACACCAATCGTTACAGATACGGCGCCAAAAGAAAGAGAAAGAAAAAGGAATGGATGTGAGAATGAGGTCAAGGGTGTGGGCGCGGTCACCAATACGATCAGGGATGCGTGTGGGGAGGTCGGCTAGTTGACTTATGTTGTTGACCACAGCAAAAGCCTCGGCTTCGCGTCCCATGATGGTGGTATCTGAGGCGTGCTTCAGCCATTCCTTGTTGTGGACATTGAAATCTCCGACACTGTTGATTTGGCCGTTGGAATCTGCCGACATTAGTGTCTCAATGTTGGAAGACAGAATTTTAAAAATTAAAAAAATCACTGCTGCTCAGGGAGCGGTAAACAGTAAAAAAAGTAGTGGTTGAAAGAAGGGAATCGAAGTTTCCGCCATATAAGTTGAAATTCACGGTTAGAGAAGTCCAAGTGTGAAAGTTGGGAAGAAACGACAGAATGACGGATATAGGCGCAGACACCAGCT